GATACTTTCGATACTCGCGTCAGTATCGATATATCGATACTTTGGATCGATACGCCCATCCCTACTGACCATTGCTGCCTGCTCCCGCAACATGTGTTTCGCTCCTGCGATTTTCGTGTCCACTCCTTTAAACATTCTAATATTGTATATAATTTTGGCGCATCAGGGAGCCGCGATCAGTATGCGGAGTATTTAAATCTCTTTTGAATGAGCGTTCGCGCTGTTCACTTTCACTTTCGATTTCGCGATCACACACACACTGTGTAAAGGAAGCACATCTTGCAAGATCAGATATTTGTCAATGAGCTCAGGATCTGTTGAGTAGCAAATACTCCAGCATGGTCTTGTCAGTCATCTCTCCTTATTCTCGACATGTGATCAGTCAAATCTGACTCCTGCAGCTGGATGCAGGGTTGCCAAGTCTGCGCTTTTTCCACAGAATTTGGCTACTTTTAAACTTTTGCCATGGGTTGATTTTCCCAAGTGGGTTAAAGGTTTGAAATATTGCATAAAGTACATTTGACTGAAATGCTTGTATTGAAATATTTTGCATTCTACCTATGATAAAACTTTCACGGACTTTTACATTAACTGTTCCCTCCTGATGGAGTCCTTAATCATTTTCAAGAAACAGCTGAAAACACATCTCTTTCATCTTCATTTGACCCTTTAACTCTAGCACTCTCTATTATAATGCTAATTCTAATTTTATCTGCTTGTTTTTTTTTTTATAACATTTTTTTTGACCCTCGAACATTTGCACTCTCTATTCTATTTCTATTCTAACTACTTGTTTTATTTCAAAAGAAAAAAAGAGCCTTTAACACTAGCATTCTCTATTCTTTCTACTTATTTTCTTTTTGTTTATTATAAATAATGACCTTCTAACACAAGCATTACCTATTCTTTTTCTGTTCTATTGACTTGTTTTATTTTTATAAAAAAATGGCCCTCTAACACTAGCATTTCCTATTATTTTTCTATTCTATCTACTTGTTTTCTTTTTATTTATTGTAAAAACAAAACAAGCAAACAAACACACAAAAAAAAAAAACTTGCTACGTATACTTTTAGGTGAACCTAAAAGTGTCCTCTTTTTGGAAAACTAAAATATGGTCACCTAGTTTAGCTTTATACAATACAGATTGTTTCACAGCAGCTTCACAGTAATAAACAAGAAAATAACAGTATTAAAAGCAAGTTCAATTATGAAACAAATACAGTTGCATTAATGCCGTTATTCAGTTCTGTTGAGTTCAGTTTAGTTCAGTAGTTTGCAAAGTTAATTAGTTATGAAGCAAACTCATAACTACACTGTAAAAAAGGGATTTTTAAAAAGAGATTTTTCTTTCTAGAGAGAATTTGATCAGTGCTTTCGGTTTGTTTTCTTAAAACAGTAAAATTAACTATTTTAAATGAGCATATATGCTTATTTTCTGAGCATTTAAGAGTACATTAGCATATAGACGTTAGCTTCAAAGCTAGCAGACATCTCATTTTGAAAACTGCGCCCTCAAGTTGTCATTTTTGTCTGCCACATATGTTATTGACACTCAGAAAAGTAACCATTATAGTCCAAAGAAAGAAAGTATAGCTATATGTATAACTGTATACATGGAGGTTGTCATAATAGCCATAATTTGCTACATGCTAATCAGTGGCATGAGGGGATTTATTTTTTTTTAATTCTAGAGAGCATTTGATCATATTTTTTTTTCCCTGAAAGAATAAAATTGTCCATTTTAAATGCATGTATGATGATTTTGTAAACATTCAAGAGTGCATTTGCATGCAGATGATAGCTTTAAAACTAATTGGCTGTGTCTCATTTTGAAGGCTGTGTCCTAAAGTGGTCAAATTTGTCAGCCACATACGCTGCTTTTCTGAGTGTCAAGTAAGAAAGTTACATAGCTTTTGTATAACTGTATGCATGGAAATTGTCACAATACCCATGAACCATGATTTTCTACATGCTAATCAGTTAGCATAAGGGGATTTTCATTCTAGAGAGCACTTGATGAATATTTTTGTTTTGTTTTTTCTGAAAGAGCAAAATTGTCAATTTTAAATGCATATATGCTCATTTTGTGAACATTTCTCTGTTGAAAAAACCAGCATACGCTGGTTAGGCGTCAAAACATGCCTAACCAGCATATGCTGGTTTTTTCAACAGGGTTAAGAGTGCATTAGCATGGAGGATTAACATCAAAGCTAACAGTGCCCTAAAGTTGTTACATTTGTCAGCCAGCTGTATACGTTAATGACGCTCAGTTACTTTTCTGAGTGTCAATGATGTATACGGCCAATAAATGTGACAACTTTAGAGCACTGTTAGCTTTGAAGAGAGAGTCCAGTAGAGTCCAAAGTAAGAAAGAAATGACATGAATTTATAGGAATAACAAGTTTTATAATGGTTACTTTTCTGAAATTAGATATATGCGACCTCCAAAGGAAATGAAACACAAACATGGATTAAAAGCCACAAAACCTTTAATTTGATCTCCTTTTTTGCAGGAGAACGCAGTGAACGGTGACCACCTGTGGCTGGAGACGAATTGCTCCGGCGATCTCTGCTACCTGGGCGAGGAGACGTGCGTGGTCAAGATTGCAGTGAGTATAACGTGGTTAAACGGGTTAAAACGGACGAGAGAAGTCAGACGGTTGCTGTATTTGCAGGGCGAGCTGAAGGCAGAGAAGAGAGTGTCATTAGAGCGTTTTAGCTGTGACATTTTCTTTCATGAGATAATGTTAGGCTGGTGTGTGTTGAAAGGAAGAGGCAGCTATTAGTCTGAGAATGTACAGCAGGTAAAAGGATTTTGTTAGGCTTTTGTTAAAGCGCAGCGCCACGCTCTGATGTTTTCAAGAGCTGTGGCAACTCTATTATTACCACTTGAAGCGGTTGGCAAAATCCTTCCTTGCCTCAGAGGAAGCTTTTTACCGCTGAAGATGAGAGCATATTCCTCTTACAATAAGATGGATCGTTGATGTGTGCATTGGCTTTGTGACAAATTGCTGTGTGTTTTGTGCTGTTCGGTTCTCTTTAAGAAGTCGGCTCCCCGGAGGAAGTGTGCAGCCTGTAAGATCGTGGTCCACACGGCGTGTATCGAGGAGCTGGACAAGGTGAGCGGAGGCAGAAATATCTCTGTAATTCTCATGCACGTCATCAGTATGCCCTTTGCAGATGAACGCTGACGTTTGTCTCTTCAAGCAGACATCAGGAGGGTGATGAAATGGGATGAGAGGGTATAATCTAGGCATTGCAGTTATGTTTTTTTAGGATCAGGAGTAGTTGGTTCCTGCTGTTGCAGTGTTCAAATATATTTGTCAGTGCAATTGCACGAATAGATGTGAAAGGATAACAGTATATAGCACAATATATACTGCCTTGCTGGAAATGTAATGAATAATTTACTGTGGTTTTTGGATTGATTTCATTTATTTAAATGTATATTAGAAATGATTTACAATTTTTTAATATTTCGAAAAATATATATATATTTCAGTATTATGTTAATATATTACATTATATATTAATTGTAATATGTAATTAATTAATATAAATAGTAATATTATATAATGTTATATAATATAATAATAGTTGAATATTTCAATATATTATGCTGGATATTTAATGAAAAATTATTTATATTTTACTAACTATGTGGTAATGTCTGTTTTTGGCTAATATATTGAATTAAATATATTAGAAATGATTTAGAATTATTTAATACTTTAGAGATCACTATTTTTATGATTTTTATAGTTTTTAAAAATATAATTGTAATATAGTGTAAATATTTCACATTGTAAACAATATATATTATATTACTTTATATATTAATTGTTATATATAATGCATGAATATAAAATATAATATAGTAGTTCTATTTATCAGTGCAATTGCATGAATAGACAACAAATAAATATCAAACTAACAGTGTATATTAAAATGTATATTTTCTTGCTAGAAATGTAATGGATTTTTAAAAATATTTTAATAACAATATGGTTATGTCTGTTTTTGGATAATATGAATATTATAAATTATTTAGAATTATTTGATAGTTTAGATTTGTTTATTATTTTTAAAACAATTAACATATTGTAGTAATAAGTGTGTGTCTGTATTTAACATTTAAATTGTATTTTATCAATTGCATAATAGAATAGAATATAGTATAACACAAGCTACAACAATAATAGCTTCTCATTGTATTATAATTCTACTTTCATTATCTCCCTCACAGATCAACTTCCGCTGCAAACCCACCTTCAGAGAGGGCGGCTCTCGATGCCTTAGAGATGTGAGTCCAATTCATCGCCACACGACTTTAAATCATGCTGAAGTTTATCGGATACTCATTGTACTCCATGTGCTATGGCAGAATGAACCCTTGTTGGCACGTTTACATGTGACCCGTTGTGTCTGTTTGCGACAGCAGAGCGTTTTGAGACATCACTGGGTCCATCGCCGGCGACAAGAGGGGAAGTGTCGTCAGTGCGGAAAAGTATGTCACGCCTTCAAAGTTTATTGAATAACTCGTATGCAAAAGTCTAGTATGTTTATGCCATCTTTCACATTCATTGCAGAGTTTCCCGCAGAAGTTCTTCCACAGCAAGGAGATTGTGGCCATCAGTTGCTCCTGGTGCAAGCAGGCAGTGAGTGTCACGTCAGTGTTTAACTCACTGGTTTATTTAACGCAGATTTGTTTCATCTCTTTCTCTGTCCATCAGTTCCATAATAAGGTCACGTGCTTCATGCTACATCAGATCGAGGAGCCCTGTTCTCTAGGAGCTCACGCCGGGGTCATCGTACCACCTTCCTGGATCATCAAAGTCAGGAAACCGCAGGTATGCTCATCTTATCAGAGTTTTATCAGCACTTATGAGAAGACCTGAGCCTGAGGTTTATGTAATGTCCTGCAGGAGATGCTAATGCAAGGTGACTCTAGACTGTGTTTTGAAGCTGGGCTGTATGATCTTGTCTTCTGCACTCAGTTATGCTGATCAGCTTCGGCTTAAATACGCTTCGATGCTGCAAGATTTGATATCAGTAACAGTGTGTTTCATAAAACTCGTCTACATATTTTATATGGAGCTTCTTTCATTGTTTCATACACTGCAAAAATGACTTCTTACTCAGTATTTTTGTCTTGTTTTCCAGTACAAATATCTAAATGTTCTGAAATTAAGAAACATTTACGTGAAAAGCAGAATGACTTAAAGTATGTTCTTAATAATAATAGTAATAATAATAATATATAAAAGTAAGTAAGCAAAATTAAGTAAACTTATGCTTAAAACAAGAAAAAATGGGGTAAAAAATAAATACATTGAATTCAAATTAATTTTTCTTACCACTTTGGCAGATATTTTTCTTATTGTAAGCAAAAATATTTTCAGAAAGCAAACATATCTTGTGCAATTTTGCTCCTCTTGTAAATGTGTCTTGATTTAAGAATGTTTAGATATTTGGACTGGAAAATATGGAAGATTGTTTCCACCACGGGATGAAAAAATAAAGATAACTGCAACATTTTTCTCACAATTCTGAGTTTATATCTCAGAATTTTCACTTTTTTATTGCAGTACTGAGATTCTGGCAAGTCTTGCAAAATATAAATTCAGAATTGCAAGATATAAACTTAAAATTGCAAGGGTGAAAAAGTCAGAATTGTGAGATAAAAAGTCGCAATCACCTTTTTAATTTGTTTTTCTATTGCAAAAAAAAAAACAGAATTGCAAGATACAAAATCAGAATTCTGACAAAAGACAGAATTGCTTGATATAACCTTTGAATTGTGAGATATAAACCAAAAAAATTACAACAAAAAAGTCTCGCAATTTAAAAAAAAATAATAATTTGTGAGATGGAAAAAGTTGCAATTCTGAGAATTCCTAAGAATTGCTTAGGAAATCAAGACAAAATACTGAGTAAAAAAAAAAAAAAAAATTTTTTGCAATGTAAACTTTTAACATCACAGTTTATCTGTTGCCTTGAAAGCCAGAATTTAATTCAAAAACTGACCCATCATATCAACAGTCATAGCAGATATTTAGACCACGCCCACTGATGACACGCTCAGCTATGATTGGTGGATTTATGCATCGATGGGGCAGGTTTTTGAAATGTGGCATATAACTGCTGCTTTCAATTCAGGAGTTGCTCAAAGGGAAGTTGCTTGCTTGTATTCAAAGTGTTTTTGGAATAGTTCAACCAAGGAAAATCTTTTTATTATTTTCTCATCTTCATGTCATTCTGAACCCATATGACTTTTTATTCTTCGATATAAAAGATTTTTTGCAGTATGTTTACACTGCTCTTTTCCTTTCAATGTCAATGAGTTAATTTAGTCTTTTCCTCATTGTATGACTTCAGAAGACTTTAAATATAGTTGGTAAAAAAGAACCGTATTTGCATCAGGTTTCTTCATCAACAGGTTCAGAGCAACATGAGGGTGAACAAGTGATCAAAAGTTTTCCTTTTTGGGTGAACTTTTCATTAAATTGAAAAATAAACATTTCTAGCAGTAATTGTCCAACTTTAACTAAACTTAGTCCTGCTGGAGTTAGTTTTGGTATGTGTTGGCTTAGTCGGCGTCTCTCTCCTGTGTCCCAGAGCTCATTTAAAAACTCCACTCGAAGGAAAAAACGGACGTCGTTCAAAAGAAGAGCCAGCAAAAAGGGGACAGATGTGAGTAGATCTGATTCCTGTCCTGTCCCTCCTTTTAAATGATGCCACAGTGTTTTCTGAGGGCTTTCTTCCCTTAACTCCTGCTCAGTGATCATCTGTCCTCACAGCTCACTGCAGTGGTGTGTGTGTGTGTGTCTGTATTTGTGTGCAAATGTGCATTTATTGAAGTATAATGGAGTGGCTTCTGCAGGAATCGAAATGGCGTCCGTTCATGCTGAAGCCGCTGCCCTCACCGCTGATGAAACCAGTGCTGGTGTTCGTCAACCCCAAGAGCGGCGGAAACCAGGTGATCTAGACACTAATGGAGGAACAATGTACAGTCATTATAGAACAATAAACCCTGAAAGGGTCATAATGACCAAATTACTGTACATTAAACTGCTTAATATGTGACTACTTAGCATAAATATTTCATTAAAAAATGTATGGATGCATTACATAAACAATTTTAGATTAAATCAATATTTCATGTCCATTTATTTTATTGTGTGGGAAGAGAGTTAAACGAGAGATCTGTGTGTCTATCAGTCTGTTGGCCTCTGCCATTCTATCCATCTGTCTGTGGTTCTGTCTGTCCATCCATCTACCTGTCTATCTGTCTGTCTGTTGTTCTGTCTAACATTATGTCTGTCTGCCATTCTATCTAACATTCTGTTTGTTTGTCAATATATCTACCACTCTGACGTTCTGTCTGTTGTTTTATCACTCTGTCTGACGTTCTCCCTGTCTGTCACTGTGTTGCTCTGTCTGTTCTATCTGTCTGTCGTTGTATCACTTAGTCGTTCTATCATTCAGTCTGTCATTCTATCTATCCGTTGTTTCATTTATGACTCTTTTGTTCTTTTTGTCTGTTGTTCTATCACTGTCACCTTCTGTCTGTCGTTTTACCTGTCACTCTCTCTGCCTGTCTGCCATTCTGTCACTGCCACTCTGTCACTCTGTCTGTTGTTCTCTCTCTGTCGTTCTATCTATCTGTCTGTTGCTCTGTCTGTCGGTCGGTCTATCTATCAGTGTTGTCTGTCTGTTGGTCGGTTTATCTATCACTGTGTTGTCTGTCTGTTGATCTGTCTATGACTGTCTGTTGTTCTATCTGTCTGTCGTTCTATCACTGTCATTCTGTCTGCTCTATGACTCATTCTGTCTGTCTGTAGTTCTATGATTTGTTCTATCTGTCTGTCGTTCTGTCACTGTCATTCTATCTATCACTCTGTCTATCATTCTGTCTGTTGCTCTATGACTGTTATTCTATCTTTCTGTTGTTATATCTATGACTGTCCTTCAGTCTGTCTGTCATTCTGACAATATTCCATTCTGTCTATCACTCTCTGTTGTTCTATCTGTCTGTTGTTGTCTCTGTACCTGTCTGTCGTTCTATCTATCACTGTGTTGTTCTGTATGTCTGTTCTATCTGTCTGTCATTCTAACTGTCACTCTGTATGTCTGTTGTTGTATCACTCAGTCGTTCTATCTATGACTCTGTCTGTTGTTCTGTTTGTCTGTTGTTCTGTCTGTCACTCTGTCATTCTATCATGCTGTTGTTCTGTCTGTTTTCTGTCACTCTCTCTGTTGTTCTATCTGTCTGACGTCAATCACTGTCTCTCGTTCTATCACTGTTTAGCTGTTTATCTTTCTCGTTCAATTTGTCTATCTATCTATCTATCTATCTATCGTTCTATCGTTCTATCGTTCTTTCTATCTAACGTTTTATTGTTCTATCTATCCTTCTATCTGTCATTCTCTCTGAATGTCCTTCTGTCACTCTGTCGTTCTGCCACTCTATCTGTCCTTCTGTATGTGTATCGTTGTGTCTGTCTGATCTTCTGTCTGTGGTTCTCAGGGGACGAAGCTGCTGCAGATGTTCATGTGGATCCTGAACCCTCGGCAGGTGTTTGATTTGTCTCAGGGAGGGCCCAGAGAAGCGTGAGTCTCTCGATTTCAGCGCTCTCTTTCATTACATTTCAGATCATCTCTCCCTCCCTTAATGCACTTTAACCCACCATTTCTTTGTCCTGACCACATTAATTATGTAGTCGTTGGATCTCAGCAGTGCTGTGTTCTGTGAGGGAGTTCAGTGTTCTAGAAGCTTCTCTCCCCGCTGCCCACCGCCTCAGTAATTGAGCCGTGAGGCAGCAAAGCACAGGCGATGGGCTCTGATGGGCTCTACCGCTGACAGAGAGAGAGAGAGAGAGAGAGAGAGAGAGAGAGTATTAAGATGGGAGGGCAGACACAGCTGGGCAGCTGGAGGGCTTTTCTTCAGAGCTGTCTGACAGAGCTGTGATTAAACTCCCTCTATTAAAACAGAAAACCAACACGCACACATGCAGTGGCCCCCAAAACATTTAATCCACACTTAAAAATCTCATTGCATTAGAAGGAAAAAATGAAAATATGAAATGAAGTGTCATTTATTTCAAAGAAAACTATTTTTCATGCCAAATGGTTCCCAAATTAATTGTTTTATTAGGTTTTACATGATGAATGAACATTGAAAATGAAGACAAAATTGGTAACACTTTACAATAAGGTTCCATTTGTTAACTAAATTTATGCATCGACTAACATTAACTTAAAATGAGCACTAAACGTGTTACAGTATTTATTCATCTTTGTTAAAGTTAGTTAATAAAAATACAGCTGTTCATTGTTGGTTCATGTTAGCTCAGGTACATAACATTAATAGATACAACTTTTGATTTTAATAAAGTATTAGTAAATATTGGAATCAACATTAACTAAGATTCATAAATGCTTTAGAAGTATTTTTATCGGTTGTTTGTTAACTAATGTAGTTAACTGATGTTAACAAATGGAACCTTATGTGTTACCACAAAATGCTTTAGAAAACACGTCTAAAGCATTTATTAATCTTAATTTCAAAATGTACTAATACATTTTAAGCTGTATCTGTCAAAATGATTTAATAGACCTGAGCTAACATGAACTAACAATGAACAGTTGTAGTTTTTATCAACTAATGTTAACAAAGATGAATAAATACTGTAACAAATGTATTGCTCATAGTTAGTTAATGTTAGTTAATGCATTAACTGACGTTACTAATAGTACCCACTTTACATTAAGGTTAAGTTTGTTAGCATTAGTTAATTTACTAATGATAAATATATTGCATTTACCAATCTAGGTTAATTATTAAATATATTGTTGTTCATTATTCCTGTTCTTTCATAATACATGCTTACACAACTTGTAATGTTAAATGTACTGGTATATAAAAAGAAATTAACGTTAATAAATGCTGTAAAAGTATTGTATATTGTTAGTTCATGATGCCTAATGCATTAACTAACGAAAACAAATTCAACTTTATTGTAAAGTGTTACCAATATCAGTGCAAAATGGCTCTGAAATGTGAAGTTAGTTGTGATAAAATGATACTTGTTTTGATATTGTTATCTAATGCATGCAACTACTGTTCAGGGTCTTTAAACAGCTCTTATGTTTGGATTTGTTAAGCTAAATGGAGTATTCTGTTAATTGGCATTCTAATTGCTTGCACATGCATCAGTAACACACAACACTGTTGTTTCCTTCGGTCCGTCAGGCTGGAATTATACAGGAAAGTGCCAAATCTTCGCATCCTTGCCTGTGGAGGAGATGGAACGGTAAGCTGCAATGCATGTTGGGATGATCAGGGATGAAGTTTAGAGATTTTGGACGCACCCCCCTCTGGTGACAAATGTGAGGAACGACAACGAATGCGCAGTGACAAAACACTGTAATTAGCTAATGGTGGCTCTGTGCTTTGCAGTGTCACGCTTTCTTGTGGGTAATTTCTAGATCTATGACTCCTGTGAGATCAAACTTGGATTTCCTGGGCGTTTTTGTCATTTCTGACCCCGGGTTTGAGTGGTTTGTCCTCTTTTGTCTAGGTGGGCTGGATTCTCTCGGCCTTAGATGAACTACAAATGAACCCACAACCTCCTGTAGCTGTGCTTCCTCTTGGTACAGGAAATGACCTTGCCAGGACACTGAACTGGGGAGGGGTGAGTCAACTCATCTTAAAGCATCTTTACATTAAATGATAAATAAATAATTGTATAGCCCAGACATCTGCATTAGTCTGATATGATCGGGCTGCTCTGATTGGCTGAGAAGCTGTGATTGTGCTGTAAGTGAGGCACTTTATAGTAAAAATATGTCTAAATTGTGTCTAAATTATTTTGTAAAAAGATATGTCTAACTATTTTTTTTAAATATGTCTTGATTTTTTTTTTTGAAAACAACGCCTAATTTTTTTTAAAGGTATGTATGTATGTATGTGTGTATATATATATAAATAAATCTTGTTTTTTTTAAATGTCTAAATACGAAAAAAAAAAACTACAAGAAATTTCTTTATATATTTTTTTTTAAAGTATGTCTGAAATGTTATCTAATTTAAAATAAAAAACTTAATTTGTTTTAAATGTCTTAATATCTATAAAAATGTATTTATGCTTTTTAAAAACTGTCTTAAATATTTTCAAAGATATGTCTAAATATGTTTAAAAATGTCTCATTATATTAAACAATTGTCTAAATATTTTTTAAAAGTCTTAATATTTAAAAAAATATGTCTAAATAATTTTTAAAAATATATTTATTTTCTAAGTGTCTAAAATGTAATAAAAGATATGCCTAAATATTAATCTTGGTATGTTTTTTATGTCTAAATATTTTTCTAAATATTTTTTTTTAAATGTCTTAATATCTACAAAAAAGTCTATATTTAAAAAAAAAAAAGTATGACTTAAGATTTTAAAAAAGGATATGTTTAATTAAAAAAGGATTAAACTCTTAAAATTGAAGGGGGTCTGAATACTTTCCGTACCCACTGTATATATATATATATGTCTTAATACTCTTTTTAAAAATCTCAATGTTAAAAAAAGTCTTAATATCTTTTAAAAATGGATTTAAATATTTAAAAAATATTTTTTAATATTTAATGTTTTATTAACAATTTTCCACCCTCAGAATTAATCTATATATTTAAAATAATTATATTTGAAAAAGCAATAAACGTCAAATTCATATTAAAACTGAATCTGAATATGTAACTTTTGCTGCAGAATTATGATGTGGCTGAGAGGCTGTGATTGTCACTGATAAATGCCGCTCATTATTTTCTATTATACTCTGACTGTGTGTCTGGCCTTGGAATCTGGAGGCTCCCAGGTTTTTTCCCGTGCCTCAATCTGAAGTCTATTATTAGCAATGAAGCGGGTGTAATGATCATTTGAATTGATGCTCTAATCATTGCGATTGATGTCAAGGACAGTGTTTATGGCAGGAGTAAGCCGCTCTCACAGACAGTAGCTGTGATGTTTCAGGGTTACACAGACGATCCGGTGTCGAAGGTCTTGTGTCAGGTGGAGGACGGGACGGTGGTGCAGCTGGACCGCTGGAATCTGCAGGTGGAGCGATCGGCCGTTCAGCCGGAGGAGGGAACGCAGAAGGTGATGGCTGTGTTCATGCTGACACAGACATTGGGTTGTGTTTATACGCTGCTGATATGTTTGTGTGTCTGTTCTCAGCTTCCTCTAAACGTGTTCAATAACTACTTCAGCCTCGGCTTTGATGCCCACGTCACCCTGGAGTTCCACGAGTCCAGAGGTCTGTGATGCTCTGTCCTACTGGAGACCGTAGTTTACACTACATACATGAGGCATTTTAATAGCTGTCAGTGAAGGTTTAAATGCCCTGAACACATTCTTTAGTCTTTTAATAGTTTTGATATTCTTAAAATATATATTTAAAAAATGTGTACGTATTTTAGATCTAAATATAAAAATAGATACATCCACATCTAAATAAAAGTGTTAATATTTTAGTCTTAATACCTTCAGATTTTAGTGAATATTTTTTTTAAAGCATCTTAGTATTATTTAAAAATACATCTTAATATTTAAAAGAACGTCTTTATATTTTAGGAGATATAACAACTTCATATTTTTTATGACACAAATGGTAAAAAAATGTCTTAATATTTTAGTCTTAATGCTTTCATATTTTAGTCAATATTTTTAAAAATACATCTTAATATTATATAAAAATGTCTTAATATTAAAAAAAAAGTAATATTTTTATGACACATCTAAATATTTAAAAACATGTCTTAATATTTTAGTCTTAATGCCTTAATATTTTAGTAAAAAAAATTAAAATTCATCTTAATATTATTTAAACTTGTCTTAATATTTTAAACCAAAATCTTCTTAAAAATCTTTTTAAAAAACTTGTCTTTAAATTTTTATAAGACACATATTGATATTTTTTAATTGTCTTGATGTTTTAAAAAACATGTCTCAATATTTTAGTCTTAATGTCTCTGTTTTTTTTTTTTTTAATCTTAATATTATTTAAAAATACCTTAAAGTCCTATATAAATCTTGATATTGTAGTTTTTAATTATCCATTTCCCACCATTAGAATCAAGCAAGCTGATTTGGAATTAAAAAGTAAAATAATTATGTTTTCCTTCATTTAATTATCTAACATTTGCTGTATTCAGTAATGTAACCTGGATTTGCCATTTATTTATTCATATTAAGGTTTTATTTAAATTGGAATGTTATTTGTAATTATTTTAATTGTATTTTAATAATTTATTTTACATTTAATTATATTACTTAAACTGCGATGCATAGATTAAATGTTTAATGAGGATAGTGAAAATTATTATTTAAATGTAGTTTACTTTTAAATGCATTACAATTATAGCCAATATGTTTAAATATCTTTTTTTTTTTTTTGGCTGTTCATCTTCCAAGGGGATGCAATTTTTTTTGTATGTAAAATATATTTTATGATTGTCATGATTGGCTAATTAGTTATGAGTTCAGTTCACATTATCGTTCATTAGAGACAATTTGCTGAATACTGAATAGATATTGATTTGTAAAGTAAATGTGGGCGGGGATATGTTAATCATTATATGACATCATGATCCATGAAATATAGTGTATATTGATATGTGGCACATTGAATGCTTTCAGTTCATAGTTTTCTATGATTTGACATTTAATAAATTTGGTCTTTAATAAGATGTCTTTATGTATCCGTTGTTTCTCTTGCTCTGAGTCATAATCATTTGTCATTTGTGTTCCTTCACAGAAGCCAATCCTGAGAAATTCAACAGTCGCTTCCGTAACAAGATGTTCTATGCAGGGGTAGGCCGAGCTCCCGTCTGTCTGACAGACTGAGTAAGTGTGTGTTTCAGTGTGTGTTTTGTCCCCTCAGGCGGCCTTCTCTGACTTCCTCCAGCGGAGCTCCAGGGATCTGTCCAAGCACGTCAGGGTGGTGGTGAGTATGACACTCCCATGAAAGCAGTGCTTTGACAGGACCTGTCCGCTCATGCTAACTTTACCATTGTTCACCTGATGTTCTTCTTTGTAATTACTTTCCTTCTTTATTGGCAGTGTGACGGTACGGATCTCACACCCAAGATCCAGGAGCTGAAGTTTCAGTGCATCGTCTTCTTGAATATTCCCAGGTGTGTGCAAACATAGGGCTCGATCTCAGGAAAAGGTGCTGTTTTTTAATCATGAATTCTGGTAGTATCTCTGTTAGTAATAAATCAGACATTAAAAAAAAAAAATAT